TAAAATAGTCCTCGCGCCAAACAGACACATTTGGAGGTGACACGCTCTTCCCCTACAGCTCCTGGGCTATGAGCTGTACAGCATGTCACTGTACTGAGTTCTCTAGGCTTTTGTAACACAGTGGCATTTGTGTAATTACAAGGACTGTGATTCACTAGACAGATGGAATAGTTTAGCTCTATTATACTCTTGTGGGACCACTGTTGTATATGGGTCTGTCACTGACTGAAACATGACTGTATGAGGTAGGGCCTGGGGTGCTGCTCAATATCCTACCTATACAGTAGTCAGTGATCCAGTCCAAAGTGTTCGTAGTGCCCAAGGCCAAGAAACCAGTGATCCGGGCCAGCAGGTAGAAAACATGGAAGGGAGTCCTGTCCCCGCCCCCCGTAGCTCTTCACCCCTTAGCATTCCTTTGAGCCAGTTGGGAGCTGATGGGAGAACTGGGAAGGAAGGGGAGAAAAGGAAGCTGGGGTATTTTAAACCTTTGAATTCTTATTTTTGTTTAATTTGACCCCTATCCTGTAATGAAAATGTCATTTACTTACATTGTCGTTGTTGCCTTCTGATCCATCACTAGTAATAGTGACTAATATTTATTGAGTGTCCCAGGCACTATGCCCAGTGCTTTCTTTACTTGTTATCCCATTTAATTTTCAGCCAGCACTTGAGGCAGGTATCATTGATGCCCCCATTCTATAGATAAGGAGACTGAGGCTTAGAGATGGGAAGGCTCTAAACTGTCTAAAGCTTAACTCCTGGTCTTTCCCCAACACTGCTCCACTTGTGTCTCCCCCCTTCTTGGTTGATAGGAACCCCCACCTTCAGTTGCTTAGCCCACACACCTGGGAGTCACCATCACACCTCCCTCCTCTCACACTCCACACTGTGTCCCCAGCCCTCCTGATGTTCTGTGCACTCCGGCCCCACTGCCACCGCCTGCCTTTTGCCTGAATTTCTGCCACGGCCTCCTTACTGGTCTCCCACTTCTGCTCTCACCCCTCAGTCTCTTCTCCATTTTCATGTTGGGGTGGTCAGACCAGGCCACAGTGGCTGCCCTTTCTTAGAGGTCAAGGTCGGGTTCTCACAGAGGCCTCCTGGCCTCCTGCCCTGTCCCCTTACTCGCTTCCCTCACTGCCTCCTGCTTCCCCCACGGCCTTTCTTGCTGCTCCCCGAACACACCCCAATGCCCCACCCGGGCTCCACCCAGCTCTGCTCCAGGATTCCCACAGCGCTGCGCGCCCTCACCTCCTTCATGGCTTTGCTCAGGGAGGCCCAACCCGACCGCCCACACTCCTGTTTCCCCTCCCCCGGCTCGGTTTTTAATCATTTACCCATTGATTATTTCTTATTTGTTTGTATGTAGGGATTTTTGACTGTTTCTTTTTTCGCTGATGTATCCCAATACACATAGTAGGTGCTCAATAAACTTACTGATTGAATAAAGAAATGAATGCGTTCCCCAAGGCCACACAGCTGGTAAGTGGCATTGCCAGGATGCCAAGTCTTCACGTTCACTTAGGTCGCCCCTTCTTCCAAAATATGCCCCCCAACCCCCTCCACTCATCCAGTGCGCTGTGTCTCCCAGAAGTGCCCCAGGATCTGGTCAGTCACCACGTTTGACTCTGTCTCCGCAGATAGTCACAGTGATACGGTTCCACCTGCCAAAGTGTCCCCTTCCCTGTCCCCTCCCAGCCAAAGCCCAGCTGGGCTGTCCCCTCCAGCTCTGCTCCAGGCTCTGGTCTGCGCCGCACCTTGCTGGTCTTATAAAGTCAGAGTCTCCCTGACTCCCCACTGTCGAGCACCTCTCCCCACCTCTCAGAGACCCCCCCACCCCCACCCCGCCGTCCAGCGCCGGCTCTCGAGGCCTCAGCCACACCTTCTTCCTCCAGTTCTCCCAAGGCCGGGTCTCTTCCTGCTGCAGGACAGTGACACGTGCCCCGGAGCACAGAAGTGGCCCCCAACCCAGCTCCCCCTCAGAAGTTTGTGTCATTTATCAGTGTCTGAGGAGGCACCTCCGAGTGTGACTTGATTAACATCCGTCTGCCCCACTCCCTGGGAGCCACTCCTCCCAGTGGATCATAACTGCTTTTGCTCACCTGTGTATCTTCGTGCCCAGCACAGGGCCTGGCCGTTAAAGATGCTCAGTAATTGTTTGTTCGGAGAATGTCTGTTCCCTGTGCCTGTCATGCCCTTGCCCTTCTCTACCAGCAAACTCCTATTCATCCTTCAAGACCCAGCTCCGTGTCTTCTCCCCAGAGCTCTTTGCAGGTAGTCCCTCCTCCTCTGTGTCCTCGCAGAGCTTTGCACATGCCCTACTCTGCCACTTCTCACACTGGGTCCAGGTCTTTTCCTCCTGCCTCACAGCTGCTCGGGGAGGCGCTGGCACAGCAGCTGGCGCGCTGGATGTTGTGTCTTAACCTGTTGTACCTTTTAGGCTGGTTATCCGTATTGTTTGTATTGTTTTTTGTTCACCTTGTGTAGTTCGGTTTCCTCAGTCCTTTGGTCACCCCGGGAAGGCAGGCTCAGTGTCATAGCCCCGCTCTGCATCCCGCTCTTAGGGCTGACACGGGGCTGTGGACACACAAATCCTTCTTGCATCCATGCCGGGTCTACTTCAGGTTGTGGGGCCCTGGGCAGTTGGAGAGCGCTTTGATTCCTTTTTCTCATTCCAGTCCAGCCATATAGCTTGTGGGGCCAAAAAATATTAGGAATTTCAAGACAGGGACAGCAGAGCTTAAACCCAGGGTGAGGCCCTTCTAACTGCCCAGGCCTCATGCCCACGAAGCCAGCCCTGATTGGGTGTACCCGAGTGAGGACATGGTAGAGGTCCTGTTTTCCTTTCCACAAATGGCAAAATGCAGGGCCCACGGGGCAGTGACCGACCTCAGGCTGCACAGCTCAGCAGAGACAGAGCAGAGCTGAAAGCAGAACCCAGCCCCCGAGCATGGCTGCTGCCTTCCACTGGCCCCGGGGTCCTCAGGCTCCGGGCCCCGCTTTCCTGCTCTGTAAATTGGGAACACATAAAATGGTGCGTAGAACAGCTGGACAGTCCCACCAGGAACACCATCCCTTTGCTGCCTTCCCCTTAAAATCACGAACACCAAGCTCCTCTCTGCTCCTTGGAAGGGCTGAGCCCTGTAGACCAAGCATGTCAAACTCGTGGCCCGAGGGTCCCATGCGGCCCACAACGAATATTTTTGCGGCCCAGCCAATATAACAGTATGTAAGAAACGTTTTAATAAAAATTTCGTCATTTAATTTTTACAATATCCTGTTATACATAATTATTAATGAGGAACTACACTGTTCGCTAATGACTGATTACTATAATCGTGTTGCATTGCACCATTTCTCTCCACTAATACTAGCAGCAAATATTTTAGCAGTCGATTGCCACGTCATTAGTCTTGTACTGACGTGTTTGGTGTGAGCAACAGGAAATATTTTGCTTTCAGAGAACAAGAAAAATAGGTTTATTTGCGTTACGCTTATTAATTTGTGCAATTATTCAGTGTCTGGTAAGTTAATGTTCAAGAAAAAATATTAATTTTATTGAAATGTTCTATTATTTTATGTTAACGATGACTCATTTATTTCAGCCTTTGTATTCAGCATGTCTCTATCAAAATAAACCTACGTTTCTATGAAGATGGAAGCTTTTGTTTTTCTGTGGCCCACATACACTTCAACCTTGTTTATTTGGCCCGTGTCAGCCTTTGAGTTTGACATGCTTGCTGTAGACAGGAGGAGGCTAATGGCTGTTGTGGTCGGTGAAGAAAGGAAAGCCCCTCAGAAGTGGGGGAAGGTGTCTCTTTTCATCTCGTTTTGAAGGAATGTGGGGACGTGGGTGAAAGTTCCCCAGGGCCCTTGGTATTTGGGTGCTTTGATATCCAGAGGAATAAAAGAGCAATTAGTCACTATAAATGTCTGTTCCCACAGCGTAGTCTGAGGGGGATGGCTCCTCCATCCCAGGGCCATCGATAGTTGAAGGGATACACAGAACAGAGACCCAGGGGGTAGAGACATGTCTACCTGTAGGGGCGGCTTCTGAAATCTCACTTTTTACGGAAAACATGTTTCCCTCGGCCGTTGGGTGAGCAAGCAGCTTGCTTTGCAGAAATCGTGGAAGACACAGGGTTTCAAAGCTCCCTTGGTCCTGTGCCTGCCCTTGGAACAGGTTTCTCAAAGTGTCGTCCTCGGACCCCTGTCCTCACTGCAGGGCTGAGCCGGGAGGCCACCTTGAACCCCGGTGCTGAGGTCTGTGCGCCACAGCGGAGGAGGTGACCAGGTGGCGGCCCGAGGGCAAGTCTCCCGGGTGACCCCTGCCTGTCCCCTTGTGTCTCCCACCTGTTGGCCTCGGTCCCTGCTTCTGTTAATAACCTGCAAAGGGCCTGGGCGATGAGTGGAGTGTGGGAGACAAAAGACAGGAAGACCGTGTTCTCTGATTCCTGGAAGAGGTGTGTTTGGCACAAGCGGTTTTGTGGCCAGGCGAGTAGGTTGTAAGTTATCTGCAACTGTGTTGTGTGTGTGTTTATGCTTCCATATACCAAGCACAGACACAATGCACGCCGGGCACAGAGGAGGGGGAGCGCCCAGGTGCCTGTGCCCGACTTAGGTTCGGTTTGGAGGGTGCACCTTCGTGTGCGGGTGTGGGACTTGCCGGTCAGCTGCCCTGGAGTGACTCACTGTGGTCCCAGCACAGCTTCAGTTGGACTTGGTGACTAACTCAGGGGGAGGAGGGTGTGTGCTGACCTGTTTTAGTGGGAAATGACAGCGCGCACAGCCGCAGTCAGCACCTCATCCCAGAGGTGTTGGTGCAGGCCCCTGGGCTGGCCAGACACACAGGTATTTCTGGACTGCGGCAGAGCCGTTGCCATGAGCTTCCCGCCCGCGGCCCTGTATCTGTCAGCACGGGTGTGTGCTCCAGGTTGGACTCCGGCAGGCAAGCAGCCTTTGGGCCCTCCTGGCTCCTCCCATGACCCATGTTGTTTCCACAGGGCCGCACCTTCCTATTTCTCCCCGGCCTCAGCCCGCCCGCCACAGTTGAGCGCCTGTTTGCCTGAAGTTAATTTCCAGAAGCAGGTAAGGACCCAGGGGAAGGATGTCTGGGGATGTGGCTTTAGATCAGTGTTGGGAGGGCCCTTGGGTTCAGGCTCAAGGCTGAGCGCAAAGTGAATGCATCTCATTTCCCTTCTCCACTGTCCCTAGTAATGCTCATTCCTTCAGAGGGCGATTCCTGCCGTGAGTGTGTGGCTCTGCTGGTTACTGTCAGGCTGTTAACCTGTGTAGTTTCTAAAGTGATATTTTATAGAAGCTCTATGAATAGCACAATTATATTATTTTATATTTGTATGCAAATGTAAATTTCAAATGTGAGCATTTAAAATATATCACTTTTTTAAAATTTTAAAATTTTTTAATATATTTTTATTGATTTCATAGAGGAAGGGAGAGGGAGAGAGAGAAACATCAATGATGAGAGAGAATGATTGATCGGCTGCCTCCTGTATGCCCCCTACTGGGGATCGAGCCCGCAACCCAGGCATGTGCCCTTGACCGGAATCGAACCAGGGAACCTTCAGTCAGCAGGCCAGCACTCTATCCACTGAGCCAGACCGGGTAGGGCTATTTTTTATTGTTTTTATTGAATCTATTGGGGTGACACTGGTTAACAAAATTATACAGATTTCAGGTGCACAATTCTGCAACGCATCGCCTGTACACTGTATTGTGTGTTCACCACCCCAGTTAATATATCATCTTTTTTAATGGACAGAAGACAAGTGTTGGGACCCATGGAGCAGGGGTGGCTTGTGTATCTAAAGGAGCCCCTGCTGTCTGGCCCGGCCTGAGGTTATCCAGGATTCTCCAAGCAGGGACAAGATCACCCCGGGTATAAATGTTTATTTCAATGTATATAAATGTGGTGTTCAGGCAGCATTAGCCTCACTTTATAAATACAAATGAGTGCAGGCAGCTGTGTTTGTATTCAGGGCCATGCGTGCCTGTCAGAGAACAGCAGCTTTCGGAGCAGGTTATCAGGATGGGTCTGACTGCTGCACGCACCATCCAGCAGCCCCGCTCACTCCGGCCCTCAGCACCATCTCCCGATTCCTCTAAAGCAGTGGTTCTCAACCTTCCTGATGCCACGACCCTTTAATACAGTCCCTCATGTTGTGGTGACCCCCAATTTCATTGTTACAAATTGAACATAATGAAAGCATAGTGATTAATCACAAAAACAATATGTAATTATATATGTTTTCCGATGGTCTTAGGCGACCCCTGTGAAAGGGTCGTTCGACCTCCAAAGGGGTCGCGACCCACAGGTTGAGAACCGCTGTTCTAAAGAGAGGTCAGCTGCTTTGAAGACTAAGTCCCTGCAGAGACTGGGCCGGATGTCTCCCAGGAGCACAATGTGGCCTCTTAGGCCACGGCCTCCATTTGTCACTTCTCATCCTTCCCTGTGGCTGTGAGCCCTTCCTCATTGTCCGTTACCAGCCAACCCTTCCTTCAACAGAGATGCAGGCTTAGAACCAACAGGAATGTGTGTGTGGTGGGGTGGGCGGGGGGAGGGCACTAGGGTCATGAATATGCCTGTGTGCCTGCAGCAAATGTGTGTACCTCAGTTTCTGTTCATTGCGTTTGTCCCAATCAGATGTAATTTTCTGGAATCACCGACACTTTTACCTATGGCTTGATATATAGCCTCAGGCTGCTCCCTCGCTATTTATGTGGGTAGTTAATAGTTGTTTATTTCCATTTCTATTCTTTAGCTCATCTATGCCTTCCCTAGTGTGCTTCCAGAATGTTATATCTCCAAGAGAGGGAGCAAGTCTGTCTCTGATTGGGCAGTTAGCAGAGATTTTCTTAGGATTTAGAATGGAAATGCTACCATGTTAGGTGAGGGGGTGTTTATGGGGCTAGCCGGGAAACCGTAAGTGAGAAGCACCATTACATGTGGCCCTCATGGCTGAGTCTCAGAATGAATAATTGGTATCTAAATTAGTTGCAGTTTGGACTTATGTGATTTAAGCACATTTTAATGGAGACAAGTTCCTGATCCCTACAGGGGAGAATAAGAGTTCTAGATGAAGTTAATCTGATGTTTGTCAGAATGTAATGACAATTTAACAGCGTGTTTGCATAGACAGGCACCAAATCCAAACATACTTTAACATCCTTGCAGCATACCAGCGACTGCAATGTCTGTTGTTTGGGTTATTATGACCTGCTCTCTTCAATTATTCATTTTCTCCTCCCTGACACCCTTGCTGCAGATTCTATTTGGAAATTATTTAAACGAGTTGTGAAGGCCTAGGCTGCTTAGATGGGATCGTGAAGGGCGGAAATGTGTGCTCATTGGCCACCTTCTGCCCCAGATCCAGCCCTGGGTGTGCCCTCTGTCAGGAGGCAGGGCGGGATCAGCTCATTCGAGAGCTGGAAGAATCCTGGAAGATCGTAACTTTTAGAAATAACAGGAATCTTCTTTCCCCGAAGCAAGAGGAAACGGTAAGAACCAGTCTCTGCCAGGGAAGTGTGCTGACTTGGGAGTAACCTGGCCCCAAAGACGTATTCAAGTACCCAAGTTCACAAGTACCCTGTGAGGCCCCCACTTAGTAATCACTGCATGAGTGTGGGAGGTCCCTTGGGACAGGCCACAATGGTGGAAGATGATGGAACACCCATCTATCTGTATGTAGGAGTGTAGGACAGAGCAAAATTCTGAAAAATAAAATCTCTCTCTCTCTCTCTCTCTCTCTCTCTCTCTCTCTCTCTTTCTCACACACACACACACACACACACACACACACACACATTCCTGTTGGTTCTGAGCCTGCATCTCTGTTGGAAGAAGTGTGGCTGTCAGGAAGGACAGTGAGGAAGGGACTCCCTCCCTGTGAAGCCAGGACCCCTAGCTCCTGGGATGAGCAGCATCTAGAAGAACTGGCCCCTGAATGAATGACTGGATCTTGCTCTGGGGCCTGGCACTGGGTAGGATCAGAGTGTGGGCTTGAGCCTGGTGGGCCTGTTGGTTTGGGAACAGGGCTTGTGGCACTGGAACACTGGTTCTTTTGTGTGTGGCGACATCTAGTGGCCAGTCATGTGTCTTCCACACTGTCTTTCACAAGGAGAGTTCAAACTGACCATATTAGCCCTGGGACACGGGACAGGATTGGGAGATTTAATCCTGAAAGCCTCGCTCCCAGTTTGGAGGAACTTGGAGCATTTCAGATGTCCTCTGGAGAACACGACAGGCCACAACACGCCAGCTGTTCAGGAGCAAGAGTCCTCGGGGAAGGCTCAGCCTGGTTCTGGAGGCTGGATTGGTTCTTGGGCCTCTTTCAACACGATGACATTTGGCCCTAAATTGGTGTGGATGTTAGAGGGATGGGGAAGCTTAGACACCACAGGCTGGTCTCCATACTGCATCCAGCCACTGGGCCATATTCCTTAAGCTCCTCCAGGCACGGTGCTGGGCACAGGAGGACAGGGTGAGTGAAGCACACGTGTCCTGGCCTTCCGGTCAGGCTGGGAAGAGACAAAAGCAAATGCTCCAACAAGTGCTTTCAGAAAATTGGGACAAGCCAGGGCTACGTGGCTGTAAGGGCTGGGGGTGGGGTGCAGACCCTGCTTTGGCTGTGCTGCCAGGAAAGGCTTCCTGGGAAGGCGGCTTTGAGTGAGACGAAGGATGAAAGGAATCCAGTGGAGGCCCAGGGGGCACTCGGTGCAAAGGCTGCTGGGGAAAAGGGCTTCTTGGCATGTTCTAGAACCAGACTGGGGCCAGGAAGGCAGAGCGGCAAGGGGAGAGAGGGAAGGGGCAGGGCCGACTGTGCAGGCCTCCTGGGGTTCTGGCAAAGGCTGTGGTGTCGGGGAGTGGTGTCATCTGTTCTGGCTTTCTTGTAAAGATCCTTGCAGGGGGTTGGGGGTGGGGGGGAGTGGAAGGCAGTGAGAAGGGGTCAGCGTGAGAAGTGAAACCCAGAGCCCAGCTTGCCCGCTCAGCTGTGCTGGGAAGTTAGGGTTGTCCGCTGCACTCTGCACACCGGGCCCGGGGGGTGGCGGGGGGCTGCCTCTCATCAGAGACCATTCTTGAGGCGCCTCACCGCTCTTTCCCAGGGACCGGTTTTTAGACCCTTTTCTGCACCCGGAGAAGGTAGAAGGACGGTAGACAGTTGACTAGGGAGCCTGAGGCTTTAGTGGCAGAAGGGAAGGTCCTGAAAGGGGACCATGTCGCATCAGGCATATGGCCGCTACTTAAACCCCAGCTGGCCAGCCTTTGGCCTGTCGGGTGGGCTTTTAGGGCCAGGGCTCTGCTAGGTTATGGGGACCGGGCAGTTGACGGGCACCTCCAGGGAAGCAGCTGTGCAGGCGCTGGCACATTTCTGAGTCCACCCTTTGCACAGAGAGCCGCCCCCCCCAGGAGATCACCCCGCCGGGGAGCGCCTGCTGGTCCAGGGCTTGCCACCCGAGGGATGGGTGGATGGTGCAAGGAGTGTTCTGGCCCACCGGCCCAGCTCCCTTGGTCTCCGAGCGCAGCTCCTGGCACTGGGCTGCCGAGGCTCCACCCCCACCAGCTGCCGCGTTATTTCTGACTCGTCCAGGAGTTACAGATCTGTAATCCAACCCCTCCAGCCTGGCTTCCTCTCCACCGGCTCTCCCGGAGGGGAAACCCTGGGACTTCTCTCCTGGGACCTTCCTGCAGGTCGGGTCCCCCTTGCACCTGGACACAGCTGCTGCCTGCAGGAGCTGCCTGGGACAGGTGGGTGGGCCTGTGAGGGTGGTGGCAGTGAGCCTGGGTCTGGTGTCCCAGAGCCCCAGCCCGTTGGTCCCCATCGAGGGACTCCTTGGAGCCCAGTCCAGGAGCTGGCCTCTTGGTCTCGGCAGGGGCTCTGCCTGAGAGAGCTGCCTTGGGGTTTGGGGCCGGGTGCTGATCCCACAGTTCCTCCAGCGGAGGCCTGGCCAGCTGCCTCTGATCGTGCCCCTCCTGCTCCTGTGGAGGTGCTGGCTTTGAAAACCTGGGACTCCGTGGGGGCATGTAGCCCATCTCTTGTGGCGGAAGGCAGAGCTGGCCAGGAGTCTGGATCTCCTCGGTCTCCCTGGCCTGAGCTCTGTGCACACAGGGGCTGGTGGGGTCTTGGGGGAACAGGCAACTCGCCACCTGCTCTGGACTCTCAAAAACGAGACCCTGCAGCGAAGTGGGTGGCCTGACACGCCCACGAAGCTCCCTGTCTCCTGGGCAGTCTCGTCCTGACCCCCCCCCCCATGCTTCTCGCTCTGTAGCAGTCCCCAGAGCTGGCCAGGGGATGAACCGCGAGGGGGCTCCCGGGAAGAGTCCGGAGGAGATGTACATTCAGCAGAAAGTCCGGGTGCTGCTCATGCTGAGGAAGATGGGATCAAACGTGAGTGCCTGAGGGGGCAGAGCAGAGGCTGTAGCTCCCGCCTGGAGCAGCCGTGGTCGGGAGGGATGCTGAGCCTGTGGTTTGGCTCTGTGGCTGGTTCATGTGGCACTGAGTCTGGGAAGTGCAGTTCCAGGGGCACTGCTGGGGCATCTTCCCACCTTTGGGTCAGGTGGGTGAGTCTGTGCCCAGGGGCACTGGGCGGACAGGCACGGAGAGGGCAGCGCCTACCCAGTGGCCCTGCGCTACCCTGGCGTCCAGCCTCAGGTCTGCTCTGAGTGGCGAGGCCTCGTGGACCACGAGGTTTCAGGGGTGGGAGGAGTGCTTGCTCTGGAACGGAGGGGTCAAACCTCCAGGGAGCAAAGGAGTTGGCACCTCTTGGGGACCAAGCAGGCCTGGCAGGTGCCTTCAGAAGCGATGGTCCGCCCTCACCTGCCGCTCTCCCCTTGCAGCTAACGGCCAGCGAGGAGGAGTTCCTGCGCACCTACGCGGGGGTGGTCAACAGCCAGCTGAGCCAGCTGCCGCAGCACTCCATCGACCAGGGTGAGTGAGGCCGGCGGCCACCCCTTCCCAGGGCACCCAGTGAGGCTCCTTTAGAAAGCGCAGCTGCAGCCCTCCCAGTGGGGGTCCGTGAGAGACAAGGAGGGGCCACAGTGCCCTCCTCCCCACAGAGCTGAGCCCCAGGCAGAGCTGCATCTAGTCCCGGAGCCCCGGGGGCCCCTGCCTGGTCCCAGCCTGCAGGGACCCCTTCCTAGACCTGGGGGAGGCAAGAAGTGGAGGTGTCCAGGGCCCCTGTCACTGCAGACGCTCTGATGGTTGCATTCCTCAACCTTTGGCCTGACCCCTGCCCACCCAGCACCCTGTGCAGGGGGAGTGACCCTGTCTTGTGTGCTAGGACCTGGCCTGGGTGCGGACTATACAGTGGCTGGTGTGTCCTGGCTGTGCCCAGAGGGGAGGCCCAAAGGCCCTGGAAGTCTCTGTGTGCCCCTGGGAGTCCATTCTTTTTTGAGTGCCATCAACTAATCATCATCATGGTAGTGGGTGGCATTTGAGTATATTGTCTAGCAGGCGTGTGCTAAGAAGTGCTTGATACACGTAATTTAATTTAAGTGTAGATCGCTACTATTTGTATTACTTCCACTTAACCGGCAAAGACACAGTTACTGCCCTTGGTCAGGCAGCCACTTACCAGGGGCCCTGGGTGCAGACCTACAGCCCGATTCTTCATCTGGGTACTGGGTTTGCCACTGTCTGCCCTGGGGCAGCAGGAAGCTGCTGGGCACTTTCGGGGCTCCTCCTTTCTGGAAGCTTTATGCGACCCTGTCGCCCAGTCTTCTGGCCAGCGTCTCCTTCCAGTTTTTTTTCTTTTGTTCTTATGACACTTAGTTTGAATTATTTGCCATAAAACAGCGTGGCACGTCCGATGTGAGGGGCTCCATAGCAGAGGGCCGAGGGTCTGGCACACGGCTGCTTGTCCTGGAGCCGCCCTTGTTCTCCTGGATGTCACAGGGCTCTGCCCTGGCGCAGGGCCCAGTTCCCGAGCTCTGACGCTGGGCGTGACCCGGCCTGTGCACCTAACTCAGCAGAAACGTACAGGACGTCCCAGTGGCTCAGGCTGCTCCCTGGGCAGCCACTCGCCGGGCCACACGCACAGGGCAGCCTGTCCTGGGCCGCCCGCACTGTTGGCGGAGCTGGGAGGGAGACGCGGGTGTGGAGTCTGCCCTGCCTCCTGGGGTCTGTTTTCTGGAGCGCGCTCCTCTTCCAGGCCCCTCTCCCAGTGCCGAACCACATCTCCCCGGAACCCTCACGTTTCTGAGTCCCTGGGCTTACCTTGCCTCCCACCCTGGTCTTGGCTCACTGAGTTAACCTGAATTTGAGCGGGCGTGGTAAGAATGCCTCTGGTAGAATGTTCTTCCTGGAAAAATCAAGACAAGCTGTAGAACTGTGTCAGTATAGAAAACAACACATTCATCTCTCCCCCCACACCCATGCATGTATAGAAAAAAGGCTGAAATAAAATACACCAGGCCTGGCCGGTGTGGCTCCGTGGTTGAGCATCAACCCATGAACCAGGAGGTCATGATTTGATTCCCCGTTAGGGCACATGCCCCAGTTGTGGACTCGATCCCCAGTAGGGGGTGTGCAGGAGGCAGCCGATCAATGATTCTCTCTCATCATTGGTGTTTCTATCTCTCTCTCCCTCTCCCTTCCTCTCTCTGAAAACAATGCAAATTTTGTTTTTGTTTTTAAGAAAACACACCAGGCTGCTAACAGAAATTTTTGATAGAGGGTAACACTAGATAAGGAACTTTCACTTTCCAAGTCACACATTTTTAGAATGCTAATTTTTAACATGGCTCACACATTTCTTTTGTAATAAGGGAAGTTTTAAAAAGTATTTTTATGAGAACTCTTTACCTCGCTCAGCCAAACCAACAATTGAGAATAAGAGTGAACTCTGTCGAGTCGTTTAAGGAGATCATGGTGACCTCACCTGGCCCGAAACTGCTGAGCAGTCAGCAGTGAGTCATGGGTGTGGGTGTGGCTGGGCCCTTCTGAGTGCGGGTCGTCCACGGACACCAGGCTGGCCTCAGCCACCTCTCTCTCCAGGAAGCAGCTCCTGGAGCTGAGCCTGGAGCCAGGGGAGAACCTCCGGGCAGGCTGGTGGCAGGGGTGGCTCTCCGCTGCCGGGGTGTCCTGCAGGTGGCCCCTCACCGCCACGGTCACTCTGACCTGAGCCTCATGGAAGGCATGCGCTGCAGAAAGCCCAGGATTCCCGGGGACCTGAGCTGGGGAGGGGAGGGTGGCTGTGCCTGGAAGAGCCTCGCGGCATGCCGTTACTTCGCCGTGACCCTAGCCATGGTCGGCAAACTGCGGCTCGAGAGCCACATGCGGCTCTTTGGCCCCTTGAGTGTGGCTCTTCCTAAGCCTTAGGAGTACCCTAATTAAGTTAATAACAATGTACCTACCTATATAGTTTAAGTTTTAAAAATTTGGCTCTCAAAAGAAATTTCAATCGTTGTACTGTTGATATTTGGCTCTGTTAACTAATGAGTTTGCCGACCACTGGCCTAAAGACACCACGAACGCACACACAATGGCAACCAGCCAGAAGCCAGTCCAGTCCCTCCGGCTGTGCAGGGACAAGCCTGAGAGTAAGACCTTACATTTCTGCCCTCCCCATGGCGCCCAGTGGCTGTCGGCTAAAATTCTAGTCTGCCTGCCTTCTCTGTGGGCAGAGCCGACCTCAGCGGATGCCATGGGGCATGCTGCTGTCAGAGGCTCCAGTGCTGCCCAGGTGGCAAAAGCCTGGCTCACTGCTTCCCGTGCAGGGGCCCCAGCATGAAAGACCCCCAAAGGCCTAGGAGCAGAAGCCTGGTGGGAGTGCCTCCTGCCACGAGGTGGCGCTGTCTCTCAGCAGATGCCCCTTGCTCCCTTCTGGGTGTCTGCAGCCTCTTGCGGTTCCAGCTCCCCTCTGTAGGTGGCCCGAGGCCACCCCACCAATGGATCTGTGCTTGGCATTAGTCCTGGGGTCCTGCCCACAATCTTTAGAACCACGAACGCTTCCCCTCTGCAGCCGGAGGGGACTGGTACCCGGGGCACTGCTTGCCCTCCCTCAACCCAGGGAGGAGAGTGAGCTGGGCATTCGTTGCCCGCTGTAATCTGGCCCCTCCTGCTGCACCCAGGTCTCCCAGCCTCCCCCATTCCCGCTCTCCCCCTGGTAAACTTGTGTCTGGTATCTGCTGGGCCCAGGCAGGTGCTGGAGACCCTGGAGCGTGGGCCTGCCCCTGAGAGCTCACTAAATGGGGCCAGCAGAGGGTCCCGGGGCCCCCAGTACTGGACTGAACAGTGGACATGCCTGGCCTCTGCTGCTCTGAGACTGAGAGTTGAGAGGTGGCTGAGGCCAGCCTGGGTGTCCCATGGACGACCCGCACTCAGAAGGGCCCCGATTCCGGGGCCTATATGGTCACACCCACACGCCTATGACTACTCAGCAGTTTCTGGCCAGGTGAGGTCACCATGATCCTTCTAGAAACCCTGCTTTTCCTCCTTGTCTTCCATGATACACACCTCTCTCCCCTCACCCAGTTTTCTACCTCTCTGCTCACCCCCCTGTGAATGCCCTCTTTCCCTGTCATGCTGGTCTCCTCCATATTCTGTCCTCTCGACTCTCCGTCTCACACGTTCTCTTTGGGAGCTCACATATGCTACGGTGACTTCCACAGACATGCTCCCTCAGCGCAGACCCCTCTGCTGACCCGACTGTACGTGCAGCTCCCTACTGACCACTCACCACGGATGTGCCACACTCAGCAGATCCAGGTCCAGAACCTTCCCCACCTGTGTTCTCTGCCGTGACGGGCGTGTCCTCCTCTCTTCCCCAAGTATCTCGAAGCTTTAATGCTGCTCAGATCTGCTTCATCTTCTCCATCTTGGTTTGAACCCCATTTGGTCTGAGCCTGTATTAATTCTCATCTTGATTACTGCAAAAGCTCCTAGCGGGCACCCTGACGTCTCACTTCCCCCCACAGTGCACTTTCTACCCCCTGGCCAGAGGGATTGTTGAAGGCCATGTCAGCAGGCCTCCCCCACTTAAAACCTTTCAGTGGCTCTCTCCTGCCTAAGGTTGGAGTCCAGCCCCCTTAGCATGACGAGCAAGACCCCCTGCCAACCTGCACCACCATGACCTCATGCACCTTAGGCAGCCACAGGGAATGGCTCTCAGCTCCTGTCTCAGGCCACGCATGTTCACACCTTTCTGCCTCTGCATCTGCCTCTCAGCTACTAGGAGCCCAGGAGCCGGGCCCTGACACCCTCTCCCTCCCCGCCTCCCGCAGGCCAGGCCCTGACCACCCTTTCCCTCCCCACCTCTCGCAGGCCAGGCCCTGACCACCCTCTCCCTCCTGCCTCCCGCAGCCCAGGCCCTGACCACCCTCTCCCTCCCCGCCTCCCGCAGCCCAGGCCCTGACCACCCTCCCCCTCCTGCCTCCGGCAGGCCAGGCCCTGACACCTACTCCCTCCTGCCTCCCGCAGGCCAGGCCCTGACACCCACTCCCTTCTGCTTCCCGCAGGCCAGGCCCTGACCACTCTCTCCCTCCTGCCTCCCACAGGCCAGGCCCTGACACCCACTCCCTTCTGCCTCCCGCAGGCCAAGCCCTCCTGTGATTTCCATCACGTGTACTCTGTACTTGACTGTGCTGCTCACACACTGTTTCCTGGTCTGCCTCTGACCAACTCTGAGTTCCTTGAGCCTGGGACTGTGGTTTCCCTTCCTGTATGTGTGGGGCTGGGAGCCTGCTGTCCCTGAGAAAGGCAGAGACATGGAGCCAGTTCTCTGAGCGCTGCAGGGACCTGACAGCCTGGCTTTGAACCAGAGGAGATCAGTACTTCCCTGGGAAGGTCGCCTTGCGGAGAAGGCCCAGCTGCAGCTTCCAGCGCCGGCGGGCAGAGTGCTGAGTTCATGCCTTTAGTGTTGCCAGCGCTGCTCTCTCCGTAGCATAACTGACCACTTTTCTGGCTATAAAATAATGCACAGTCAGAGG